AGCATCTCACTGGTCACACTATCCAAGGATCTGAACAATCGTCTCTAACTCTAGCATCTCACTGGTCACACTATCCAAGGATCTGGACAATCGTGTCTCCAGCATCTCACTGGTCACACTATCCCCTTTTGCGGTTTTGAATTTTAAACTCTTTCCAATCATCCAAAAGAACTTAAAACTCAGTTTCCACACAGCTTCAATAAGAATTTCAAATGCTCTGATCAGATCACAGACATACAGACAGAAGCCACAGAGCAGTGCAAGACATACAGATTATTTGCTGAAAGTGTTTAAGAAAACTGAACCTGAATGTCACTACAAAGACAGTTCATGTCCACAGATTCCCTGAAGGTACCGTTTGTGACCCTGGAATTAGACCATCCATGATGGTGCACTTGGTAGATCTGATTTAACAAAAGGGGCACACACATCCCCTGAGGAGAGGACAACTCCTGGAAATACCCCACATGCCACCACGGCTGACCTACAATGTGGTACATTGACAGAAAATAAACACGGCCCACTTCAAGGCCAGCAGGCAGGCTCTAGCTTCTCTCTGTTCACTCACCAGTCAGGTGGCAAAGCAAACCACCCAGCTATGGATGACAGAGTCTTCCCTTAAGTGATGGAAGCTAGAAACTCTGGAATCCAAGGTCATGGGGATGACTCAGCCACAGGCAACACTGACTGCCGAGTCCCAACAGGGCAGTGCAGTCCTCTTAGTATTAGCTCTTGAGGACACACTAACAGTGTAGGCCGCATTCCAGAGTCTTTGGGAGGAAGTCGTGGGTCTCACAAACGTCATTCAGAGCTGGCGATTACTCACAGGTACATGGGTCAGAATGGTAGAAGCCAGGAGTTCTCTTGCTTCTTCTATTTTTGTTTTCTTTGGTCCACCTCCCCACATTCTTTGTCTTCTTACCTTATTCCCTATATATTTTAACGCCTACAAAAAACAAAGCAGGGTTTGATTACATCACTGGGACGATCAGTGCTGACGTGCTGCTACAAAGCAAAGAAGTCAAGGATCTGGTTACACAGATTGTCTCGTTGGGAACAAAGACGACATCATGAATTAATAACAAATACTACAGCACACTGCCTACCCAACACACTGGCTCCCCTTTCATTTTAAAATTGTCTTATTCCTATAAAATTGACACATAACTATTTATAGGGAACTGAGAAATAGATAAAAATGTGTTTGTGTGTGTATAAAGCAGCCATCAATTCTTCATTCAGAATATCACTGTGGAATGTTGTAGTTCCCATTAAAAAAACAAAACAAAACAAAACAAGAAAACAAACCATGCCAAGATCTAAGAGCTACAGAAAAAAACAAACCCAAATAAATGCAGGATGAATGTCATGAACTAGATGACTTAATAACATGATGTCCAGTTTAAATTCTTTCCAAATTAACCAATAAGTTAGTAATAGATCATTTTATTCCCAGCGGGCTTTAAACAACTCCAAATTGGTTGATTCTAAAGTCGTAGGTTCTATAATTTACATGGCTATGCAAAGGGCTTGGGTAGCTGCAAAGATCATGACTTCAACTACAAAGGCACAGTAGCCAGGCACTGATATCACGGCCTTTAATCTCAAGCCTTGGGAGGCAGAAGCTGGTGGATCTCTATCAGTTCAAGGCCAGCCAGGGCTACATGTGAGTTCAAGGCCAGCCAGGGCTACTTTGAGAGACCTGTCTCAAAAAACAAAGGAACAAAACTTCAGGAATGAAAAAGATGTTAACAGTGGCATGGAGAGGGACAGACGGAAAGAAACCACAAGCCTCCTAACAACCTCACACAAAAGAGTCAAAACAAGTCATGGAGAAAGAAACTGTCCTGGTGGAGAAACACAACTCGGGACCCAAACATGAGCAAGGAGCCCGGGCCTCTGGATCACGCCAAGAGGAAAAACTAATCCGAGGGAAGACTTCACACCTGCCAGGTGATGCTGCACACAGCTTTAATGCCGTCAGCACTCAGAAGGCAGAGGCAGGAGGATCTCTGAGTTTGAGGCCAGCCTGGTCTACACAGTGAGTTCCAGGACATCCAGAGCTACCTAGTCTTGAAAAACAAACAAAAACAAAAAAGGACTTTATAACTAATGTGGAAATTAAAATTGTATGACTTCTAGAAAAAGACACAAAAAATAATCTAATGTGGAGTAGGCAAAGACCTCCAGGATACAGAGGTAGTGATTGTGAAAGACAAAACACAACTTTTTTGATAACTGGGTTTTTTCAAAAGTAAACAGCACTGTGAAAGAAAAAGACCAGAGAAGCAACGAAAGAGCTGGCAGTGTTTACAATATAGAAGCCGGACACAGGATTGATATCCAGACTTTTCTGTTGGCTTTTGTTTTTTTGAGACAGGGTTTCTCTGTGTAGCAGTGGCTATCCTGGAACTCACTCTGTAGACAAGGCTGTCCTTGAACTCAGAGTTCAAGTGCTGGGGTTAAAGACATGTGCCACCATGCCTGACTCAGACTTCATTTTTAAAAGGATTCTGAAACTCATTGATAAAAATGCAGACAGTGAACAAATAAACAGTCTGCACCCTTCAAAAGAAAATCAGTGGCTGATTCACTCATGAAAAGCACATGACATAATTTGCCATCAAAAACGAATATTAAGGCTACAATAAGATAATGCTACACACCTGTTAAAACATCTAAAATTAAAAAGACACACCACCAAATACTGTGAGAACAAGAAGCAATCAGACTTGTACACTGCGGCCAGTAATACAAAACAGAATGGTCATTTGGGGATTGGAAAGTTTCAACTTTATAAAAGTTAAATATGCACTGTTCTCTGGCCCAGTAACTCGACTCCTATGTATTTACCCAAAAGAATAAAATTGCCCATACAAAGATTTGTCAGTGGTGGCACAGTTCATAAAAGCAAAAGAAGATCCAAATGAACATCAATACAAAAGGGAAAACTGGTTCAGTTATACAGTAGAACATTAGTAAGCAATAAAGAGGGCGGACTCCATGGAGAAACAACATGAAAGGAACACAAACAACAACCAAAAAACCTTGGGAAATCTCGGACAGCGTGCTTAGCAAAAGTTAGACACATCATACACAGCCAACTCCATACATAAAGCTCAGGAACAAATGAGATAAAATCATCCTAATACCAGAGGGTGGGGTGGGGGGATCGTGGGGTGGGGGTGAGAACTGGAGGGCAGAAGGAAACCCGTGGGGGAGGAAACACTGTGAAGTCACAGATTAGACAGAGGAGGCCCTGAAGCACTCACACAGTGACTCTCAGTGAGCAACAACAAGGGAACTGACTGGAGCAAGCCCACTCGGCGGGAGACAAGAGCAAGGAGGCAGCTTGATGTTCCCTAAACTGAGATGGCCATTACAGCTTTCTCCTTGGGAGGGTGCAGGTCCTCACTCTGAGGAAAAGAATGAGAGGGACACAGGAGAGGGGAATCCCTTCTGATGTCACACTGTTGTCTCTTCCCTGGGGACCCAACGATGCCACTTCCTCACAGTGTGAGGGCTGCAGAAACAGCCTATCAAGGAAGGCCAAAATATTATTCCTAGCAACATCTTCCAAAAGGAAAGAACCAGAGCCCTTGACAATGATGAAGAACACATAAACAATAAACAGCTAAGGCTGTAGAACAGAGGAAATGATGGAGGCAAAAAACAGGCATAAAAACAAACGAACAAACAACAACACTCCTTCATTTAATTCACTGAAGCATCACATCTTCAAAAGGGCTATTTGTGGTGTAACAGTTTCCTCCAAAATTGAAATATTCCATCTCACAAAAGAGATTCTTGAGCAGGAAGCTAAACAACTCAAGACAGCTTCAGGAAGTCCCTGAAACTAAGTAGATCCACTGAGAGATCCTCTCAGACAAATGGAACTCAAAAGAGACTGAGAGAGAGGAAAAAAAAAAAAACTTCAAAGAAGACTTAAGACCAGCAGCTTGGAAGACAGAAACCAGCCAAGCTGCCTGGAAGAGTTTTAGACCCGGGTCAGGAAAGGACACTCTCCAACCTGTTGAGCTGCCTTGCAGGCTGTGCTGTGCGCTCCAGGTTCCCAGCTTCTGTGAGCTGTCCCCCATGCTGGGGTGGGCTCTGGTGATACAGCTGTCTCAGTCACCTCTGCTCCTGTAAGTGAGTCCTCACCCATACTCTTCCAATCAAACTCAATGGTTCACCAGGTTGGACTTTGGCAGTGCCCAAACCTTGGTCAGTCCCGAGATCCTAATCTGGGGTGAGTAGACTTATGTGTTGTGTCTCCCCAGGAAAAGTTTTGTCACACAACACTATTCCACAATGAAGTGCACTTTCTCTGTCCTCATTCAGAACAGGAGAGAACACTCATGCTTTCATAACCAATGCTGTATCTTCAATGTACTAAACATTTTGGATTATTATTAACCTAGCATGCAGTTTGTAAGCACTTGCAAATCCTTACTTTCTGTTCAGGGAAACAAAATATTTCTCTTTCTGAAGTTAACTAATTATATCTCTCTTCCATCTTTCTCTGACCGAATTTAATTGAGTTAGCTGAGAAGTTTCCGTGAGCATCTACTAACAGATGGGAATGTGAGTTTCCAACCCACTGTGGCCTTGCTGACACAGCTCTACAACGCTGAGGGCTGTCTGTCTGACCAACGATGGTTAAAATGTGGAGGAAGGAGACTACCAGAGCCCTGCTACCATTAGAACACTCTTTGTTAGAGACAGACAGCAGATCTCCCAAAGCTGAGCCTATAGTCCTGTTCACAGGACAGTGTTCATCTTCTACTTCCTGTTCTTTCTCCATGTTTCCTCTCTATGTTCTTAGATCCCTGGACATGATTCCTTGATTTTTTAATGAAGATTCATGCGTATCAAGTATTTCACTTTCAAGAAAGGCCAAAATGAGTACTTCCTAAACAACATACTGTTTCCTGATGTTATTCGCCCAATTATTTGAGTCAATTTCCACTCACCATGGAGAATGAGTAAAGCAGTCAGGAGCAGTCCCCAGTGACGTGCTTTGGATACACACACTGAAGTATGACATCACCCTTCCTAAGTGCACGACTTCATCTAAGATCCATCCAGGCTGATTTGATTTCAGAACACATAAACAGACAGTAAATGGGAATGTTCTCTCTACATGCATCAAGGGGGGCCAGAAGAAAGAAACTCAGGATTTATATTTTCCTGTAAGTATCTCACAGGCTACATATGGACAAATTCAAACCATCTAATCTAGTTCAATAGGAGGGCATCCCTAGCTCCCAGAGGGCATAAGAAATGCCACATAGACTCAGTTAGCAAAACACCTTGTGAATATCATACTAAAAAGCCCAACTATCATGAGGACTCTCCCACATGAAAAAGGAATTATAATTACTTTTTTAAAATCATGTTACACACATAGGGTTCCCTAACATCATCTTTGAATCTTATCCTTAGATTCCAAGGTTCTAACCAGCTGTACCTGAGGCTAGTGAAGATCCTGGGGGAATAAAAGGAACTATTCCTGGACCTTTCTTGATACTGAAGTAATTGGGAATTCAGAAAATGGGATAAAGACTGAATAGATAAATTGGAAGTTGGGAACGAACAGACATTAAGAGCTAAGGACACAGCTCATTGGTAGAGTACCAGCTACGTACACAAAGCCCTGGTTTAGGTTCCTGTTGTGTTAAATGAGAAATGTCTTCCATAGCTCATGGGTTGAACACTCGGTCTCCAGTTGGTGGTCATGGAACCTTTAAGAGGTAGAGCTATGTTGGAGGCAGTATGTCACTGGGGGTGGGATGTGAGGGTGGCCTTGCCCCAATTCCTGCTTTCTCCCTACTTCGTGGCGATGAAAATGTGACTGGCTAGCTTCCTGCCCCTGCTTCCTGCTACCATGCTTTCGCTACCACTATGGACGCTATCCCTCTGGAACTGCAAGCCAGAATGAACTCTTTAGTTGCTTTTAGTCATGGTGGTTTATCATAGCAACCCACCCCACACCACCACCAAAAGACTATCAGAGAGAAAATGGAAGCAGGCAAGTCTCAGGTGGGAACTGCCGGGTTTTACAGTGCACCATCCCTTGGACAAGCGGGGCAGATGGTGCCGTTACTGAAGCACAGGAGGAGCCTCCTCTCCACGAAGAAGCCCTCTTCTGATGACTGGCGCAGCAACTCCTTCCTCCAGTTTCCGGAAGCGGGTCAAAGGAACGTCTGTGCTGCTCTTCTCCTCGACCCCCGACCCTACCCCACGTCACTGCAATGGTGGCTTATTGAGATGAACAGCACTGAAGACTCAATCCACAGCAAGGGACTCCATGAAAGACACACCTGCATCTGTGTGAAAATCTGAGCTTTCTGGCACTCCTCCAAGCTGGGCCCAAACGCAGCCATCACGTGCTCCTCTGTTCCAATCATCTGCACAATTTCCTGGTCACTCTCGACACCCATGGCCTAGAAAGAGAAGAAAAGACGGAGAGTGTTGGCTTTGTGCTCACTCACTGACATTTGCTTATGCTAATCTGGCATTGTTTGTGGGTATTACTTCCAAGCAAAAGCCAGCTCTTCTCTCAGAAACGGTGCCATCTGGCATTGGCAGCCAGAGCCCGAGCTGCACGAGAACCTGAAATAGAAGTTGTCATTAGGAAGAGGAAAACAAACACCCTCAAGCATTTCTGCATGTGTACAACCATCCCAAGTTTTAAAAATATTCTAAGTTTCACTATGAAGAAATGAGGCTGGGAAGTCCAGTGGGGAGGCCTGGTCACAGTAACAACAGCAAACTAAAGCAACACCCTCAATGGTATAGCAAGCCAGAAATGAACATTGCTGAAAATGAGTGTGCCCGACTAGGAACCTTCTTAAGTGCTGCAAGGTGGCAGTGGATGGTCCTGTGCTCACTCACTTCCTCAGACACTTGGCCAGAATGCTGCCATGTGGAGAGACACAGTGTAATCCCACTAGCCCTCTCCTGGTGTAGTAATGACCTGCTTCTTAGAAGTCAGGGGAAAGTCATGTTTACACCAAAATGTCTCCTTCTGCTTTGAGAGAAGACCAAACCAGAGGATAACTGTCCAGTCAACCTTGTCATTTTCTCCTCAGTTCTCTCCCACACAAAAGAGAAGCAAATGGAGTTCCCAGTTCCAATGCAGAACTCCAAGAGTATTGTCCTATGAACCACTGAGAGGCATCTATCTAGAAACCTCAGGTCCTCAGTGTTCTTCCGGGATAATGCCAACTCTATTGCTGCCATCCACTTCCTTCTGCTGCAGCATCATCATCCACTTCCTTCTGCTGCAGCATCATCCACTTCCTTCTGCTGCAGCATCATCCACTTCCTTCTGCTGCAGCATCATCATCCACTTCCTTCTACTGGAGCAGCATCATCCACTTCCTTCTGCTGCAGCAGCATCATCCACTTCCTTCTGCTGCAGCATCATCCACTTCCTTCTACTGCAGCAGCATCATCCACTTCCTTCTACTGCAGCATCATCCACTTCCTTCTGCAGCATCATCGACTTCCTTCTGCAGCATCATCCACTTCCTTCTGCAGCATCATCCACTTCCTTCTGCTGCATCATCGACTTCCTTCTGCAGCATCATCCACTTCCTTCTGCAGCATCATCCACTTCCTTCTGCTGCATCATCCACTTCCTTATGCAGCATCATCCACTTCCTTCTGCTGCAGCATCATCCACTTCCTTCTGCAGCATCATCCACTTCCTTCTGAAGCAGCATCATCCACTTCCTTCTGCTGCAGCACCATCCACTTCCTTCTACTACAGTACCAATGGAACCTACCTGTTCAAAGTTCTACAATCACTCATTTGACCTGGAAAATTCTGAAGACCCAGGGGATGCTACATAGCTGATATGTGTCCCTTTTATACCAACTGAAGGGAGTTTGAAAATATTCCCCAAACTCCTAGCACCAATTCCTCTGAGCACAGAGTAAACTTGGTGTCTCCCCTCTGGGAAGAAATGACCTACTCAGCTTTTCGAGGCTTGTTTTCTTTACAGGCACTGTAGTCTCCTGTTTGCTCCTGTTGCCAAATCATGAGGGTACCCACGAAGAATGTGAGAAGGTTGAGAGGTTGGAAAAAAAAACAAAAACAACCTCATAGCCTTTACCATGTTGGTAGTTGCTTAGCATCGGGTGGCAACAGATAGACTGATAACAGAAAGACCCTGAGCCAGAACCACCCAGCGAAATAACCCCCAAATTTCTGACTAATAGAACAAAGATGTGTTTTTGTAGCTTTTTCTGAATTTACATATCCCCTTCTGAAGGGAAGAGGGAGGCTCATAAAGCTCAGGGAACTGAGGAAACTTAGGTGACTCAGGAAGCTGCTGTACCTTACAGGACTCAGAAAGCACAGAAAGCTTTAGAACTTAACCAGATGTGTGGTGGTGCATGCCTTTAATCCCAATGCTTAGGAGGCAGAGGCAGATGGAAGGCTGGCCTGGTCCACATACCAAATTTCAGACTAGCCAGGGCTACACAGTGAGACCTTGTCTCAAAAACAAAATACAGCAAAACAAAAAAGTTATAAAATTTGGGCAGTCCTTCTCCAAAGTTACATAAGCTCTGAACAAACCGCAGGGGAGAGGGAGTCTTCCCTGGAAGAGCACCGTTGAGTAGGGGCTCCGAGATGTGCTGGCTCGAGTCATCCACGCTCCTGTCAGGAGCCCTCACCACATCCCACAAGCAACCCAAGCAACCCACTGTTCCATCAAGCTCAATAGGACAGAATCATTTCACTGGTCAAATGCTGGAACCCCATGAGGTGAAACCATGTTTGGGCATGTCTCCCCAGGAAGCCACACAACAGCGTGATGGTTTCGAGACAGCTCAGAGAGCAAATTAACAACTTAAGGAATTAAGTCCACTATTTGAACAAAGAATTTTATTTTTGAGACAAACTGGCCTTGACCGTTAATCCTCCTTCCTCAGCTTTCCCAGTGCTGGGATTATAGGCAGGTTCTACCAAAAGTGGCTTCAAACTTTTCCTTTACAAATAAAATTTCAAGACTCAAATCACATGTTTTGTTAATTTTTGTAGTCCTTTTATCTCTAATTTGATATAAAACATTTAGCCAAGCAGCTGCTAAAGATAAATGTCAATTTAAAAATCTTCAAATTCAGTAAAGTAGCCTCTTATGATTCAAAGGTTAGCAGCTCAAAAAGTGACCAGTTTTAATGTTTTATAAAAAGGAACAGAAACTAGGCATGTTAACATCTTAACCATTAAATCAGAGGCCACTTGGCTTATTCTAGCAATTTTACATCAGTAATTTCCAAGTTAAAAAAAGACTACAATGCCGGGCGGTAGTGGCGCACGCCTTTAATCCCAGCACTCGGGAGGCAGAAGCAGGTGGATCTCTGTGAGTTCGAGGCCAGCCTGGTCTCCAAAGTGAGTTCCAGGAAAGGCACAAAGCTACACAGAGAAACCCTGTCTCGAAAAACAAAAAAAAAAAAAAAGACTATAAAGTGGATCACCTACTCAGGAGTTTTATAATAATAACAGGAAAGAAATCCTTCACTCCTCATTTGGTCGCCATTTAGGTCATCCTGGTGTGGAATCTAAATAGTAGTTTTTAAATTGCCTAATACCCCTGGATGGCTTAAAATGGATCTAAACAGACTGCTTGGCCCCTCCAGGCACGCCTAGGCTGTGGAACAAATTCATGCCAAGCAATGATGAAAGACGCCATGTGCAGAAGGCATGCGCGCTGCCAAAGCCTTCCTGCAAAAGACTAAACCCTCCCTACTGGGTCACTGAGACACAGGCCGTGACTCAGTCAGGATTGTCAAGAGAGCCTCAGCTCCAAGGACGGAATCAGCGTTAGCACCAGTCAGCCTTTCAGCAGTCATGGCTACAAACAAATGACATATCACCATGGAAACAAACAAAATGCCCATCCAGTGTGCTTCACAAACAGAATTCAGACACCTGAGAACTAACATTATGTGGAACTCTGTGTACTCCTGACCCCTCATCACTCCCACTACTAAGTCAAGAGAAAACTCTACACAATGATAACCTTAGGAAGAAGTGGCAGAGATAGTTTGTCTGAAGGTCACCCATGGTCTGGCAATCAGCAACAGTGAACAAAATCCAGGAGAAGCACTCTTTAAAAAGTAGCATGAGGGCCGGGCGGTGGTGGCGCACGCCTTTAATCCCAGCACTCGGGAGGCAGAGCTAGGCGGATCTCTGTGAGTTCGAGGCCAGCCTGGTCTCCCAAGTGAGTTCCAGGAAAGGCGCAAAGCTACACAGAGAAACCCTGTCTCGAAAAACCAAAAAAAAAAAAAAAAAAAAAAAAAGTAGCATGAGCCGGGTGGTAGTGGCGCACACCTTTAATCCCAGCACTCCGGAGGCAGAGCCAGGTGGATCTCTGTGAGTTCGAGGCCAGCCTGGGCTACCAAGTGAGTTCCAAGAAAGGTGCAAAGCTACACAGAGAAACCCTGTCTCGAAAAAACAAACAAACAAACAAACAAACAAACAACAACAAAAAAATAAATAAATAAATAAAAAGTAGCATGAAACTGTGTCCTCAGATATCTACACAGTGTAAGTTTTAAAGTCAGGAAGAAGACGTTGCTAATGACCTGCACTGATGGAGAGACGTGCAAGGTCCTGATGAAGGTGACTTCCTTACAGAGCCAAGATCCAGAAGCCTCTGGCTGTAGGGAGCTGACATTTATTACTGCTAACAGCAGTCCTGGCAGACAATAAGGGAACTGCATTGACTTCTTTAAATCTGTAGTTGTTTCCCTTTAAAGATAAAAAAGGTCCATAGAAGTTGGCGTCTGAGAAACAAAGCCCAGCTCCTAAGATCCTTTTGGGCCACCACAGTGCAAGTGCTTTGAAAGCTTGTGACACTAAATGGGAAGAGGGGAAGATTCATGGGCAGGAGAACCTCTGTGGCAATTCAAGTCCATAAATAAGGCTGATCCAGGCCTTACAAGCTCTACCCATCATATTCAGACTCAGCATGGTGTCTGGAAACCCTGCTGCTTCTGCCACTTTTAGGCAATTGTTGGTTACAATCAACAACCATCAGGTCCTAATGACTGTCAAGGTCTTTCAGGCCACACAACACACAAAGAGAAACGATGTGCCTCTTCCAGCATCCTGGTGTATTTTCCCCAGCTTCTGACAATGGGTAAGGAGGGCCCAGCAAAGAGAAAGGGCATGTTTCTGGAAACACATGATTTCATCTGTGTTTCACAAATCACCCCTGTAGGTGACTTTTCTCCTGAAAGATGAGTTATTCAGGACTCAGAGAAGTTGGGAATTCTGCCCAGTGTCACAAAGTACTAAGTGGAGAAACAGGAATTGAGGCTAACTCTGTCTGCCTCTACGATCTCCATTACCCTGCACTGTCACCAGGTAGAAACGTGGTGACGAACCCACAAGTCCTCAGCAGTTGACTGAAATATTCCGGAAAAG